GACAGGGAGACTACCCCTACGCACCCCGGGCAGCACCTCTTATCCTCCTCCCGAGCCACCCGCAACACGATCTGCGTGCGACTCGCTGGCGCCACCGCGTCCCACCCCCCTCGGCGTGCCCACGGGCTAGCGCGCCGCCCCTGAGCCGTGACCGTTTCCCTCACTTGAACATGAAACATTGCCCCACTCGGCTTACATATTGACACTATCCCGGGGCATGATTTACCGGTACAGGTTATGAACTGAAATACCCATCTTGAAGATCTTTCGGTGCTGCTTACAATCCTGCCCTTTATAAGGCCCAAGTCACTCTAGTTTTTGGACTCTGCGCCCGCGAAAATGGGGAAAGGCTTATCAGGGTGAGTATTTCGAAGTCGCCTTGGCATTCACTACGTCATAATAACGTCATTCAAATCCTGACATCCCATAAGTGCGGCGATCAAGGCCAAGACAAATATGATTCTCGAGGCGTTCATGTTTAGCGTTTGAGAGCGCGACTTCAGACATAACGGCCGTCAATTGGCTCTCAATCAACGTTGTGCAAGGTACGATAACGTTATCTACCTTAACATTTCTTTCCCTAAAATTTCCTTTGGCACGTCTCCGTTCACGCGCCCAGTGACGAAGCCCAACGCAAATTTTAGCTCTCCTTAGTGTTAATCACCATTCATCAGGTGAAATAAGGTCATCAAATGTAAAAAACAACGAACGCGAGCAGCAGCAGCTTCAAAGGTTAGGTAAACAACACGGTTTTACCTTTACCAATGTAGACGCGCTCGTTCGTTACTTTCCGGACTCCAGAGCGCAAATAGAATGGTGGGCTGATGGAAACAAAACTTTTTGTTGACAGTTGCGCGCCTTTAAATCACACACATATGTACATATTTGTAACCATGTATCCATATAAGTGTATATAATGGTTATATGATATGCATATATATATATATATCCGGTTGTGTATATAACGGTCACATGATATGCATATATATATATATATATATATATATATATATATATATATATATACACCGTATAGTACTGACGCACTGTGCCTGAGACATAAACTCTGTGAAAGTCACCCCATGTAGCAACTAGCCTCATTCTCCGCTTATAAAATAACAGGGAGCATTGCACGTCTAAACTATACATATATCGTTCCCACGCTCTCGACGGAAGTTAGTGCGATGCATGCGTTGCTAACATGTAGGTATTCCAACAGAGCGTGAGCGGAATTACATCGTATGTAAAATAAAAACAAAAATATTGCACTGTATAATTCACACTAAGTATATTGGCTGTACTTCATTAGCATTGGCGACCTATCAATCATTATTCTTGACACTGCCATATTTTCAGTTGCATGCCATCACTATGAGTTCCCATCCACTACCTTTTACCTGGGAGGCGCCAATATTTTTTGTTGTATTTTTCATCTTAATGGAATACGTTGATTTTATCGTCCCTTAGCAGGGAGTGGTGTGAGTTTGCAAACTTTGAGTTCCCAATGTAAACGTTACCCTGTTTGCCGCGCATGTGCGGGAAAGACGCTCTTAGGCACTTGTTCCTGGATGATTGTGTAGAAGTAAAAAAAATGCTTCAACCTTCTTTCCATTTACAAAGGAATATAAAAAGAAGTGTCATGATATAATAAATGCATGCTTATCAAAAAAGCATGCAAAATTTGACGCTTGACAATTTTCAAATTTTCGTACCAGCAAATCACATGATTCTATCGAGGACAGGTGTTGATATCAAACCTTTAACACGATGAGACCTGAGTATTTTTGCCAAATTTGTGACTTGCCGATACCAGAACACTTTTTGCATTTCGGTGTGATGATTCTATTTTGATATGTCACTTGATTTTGGCTCCTCTAAATTCAGTATGATGATCTGCTGTTAGACATCAAACAGCCGTTGAATCGGCTAAACCAGTAAATGTTCCTCGACAGAGGTGACGGAGAACCAGTGTGTGTATCATATCCATGGGTGGAGCTTTGCGTCTGTGTGGAGAGACTTTCCTATCCCCCGTCACCCAATGTTTGCATCGCTCCCCCATAGTATTTAACAAAAATAAAAAGCTCAAGGCCAAAATCATTTTATTTTTCCCAAAACACAACACGTACCAGGCAAGATTCTATCTAATATGGAATGAGCTGCAATGCTTCTTTTGTCATTTGGGTCATTAGAACTCGGTGATTTATATAAGATTGTTCCACGAATACACCAATCTTATGCAAGGAGGTATAGCCACGCAGCGGACGTAGTCACACATACAAGCCTCCTGAAGCGGAGGTTTGTCCATGGTCATCCAATAGTCGGCCGGTGCCGCGGTGCTTACATAGACACCGCTGGTGTAAACGGCGGGGCAGTTACCCAGCGTCGAGCCGGCGGCCGACGACCAGCCGACGGCCAGACTGCCAGACTACCAGCCGGCGGCCAGACTGCCAGACTGCCAGCCGGCGGCCAACGGCGGGCCGCAGCCGAGCCACTTCTCGGCCGCGCCTGCTTCACGCTCCACCTGCCACCCGCTCACTTGCCAGACTGCACATACGCCTGGTGCACGGCCGCGGGGTCATCACCACCACACCAGCACAGCACCAACAGCGGCAACACACCAGCACCACACCGCCGGCGGCAAGGGCAGCCACCTCTCCCTGCCGTCCCGGTCCAACAACTGAGATAGGGCCTGGCGAGCGCGGCTGCCAGCGCCACTTTCTTTTCTTACAACAAACATTATAACTCTATAACTCAGTTTCTACCGACATTAACTTGGTTACCCGACGCTTCAACGGGATAAATGAAATAATGTGATATCAAACAAACTTTATTATGGCCGGCCAGCTGTATGAGGAGCGATAATTTGATCAGTGGCCGCCGGAAGGCTGGCCTGCGACGGGCCGCGGCCGGCGGCGGCGGGCCGCACCCGGCCCGGCGTGTCCCGGGCCCCGGCGGCCGGGCCGGCGCAGGGGCCGTCACCGGCCACAGCGGTGTGGCATCAAAACATGGAGAGAGAGAGAGGTCTCCGACCAGGGGCTGTCACCGGCCACAGCGGTCTGGCATATAAACATGGAGAGAGAGAGAGGTCTCCGGCCAGGGGCCGTCACCGACCACAGCGGTCTGGCATAGAAACACGGAGAGAGAGAGGGGTCTCCCGGCCAGGGCCGTCACCGGCCACAGCGGTCTGGCATATAACAGGAGAGAGAGAGAGGTCTCCGGCCAGGGGCTGTCACCGACCACAGCGGTCTGGCATAGAAACACGGAGAGGAGAGAGGTCTCCGGCCAGGGGCCGTCACCGGCCACAACGGTCTGTCATTGGAAAAGAGAGAGGGAGAGGTCCCAACTCTCATCCACGTGGGAGAGATGAGGTGACCCAGTGCCTTCCTGTTTGACGTGAGGTGGGCCGTCCCAGGTTTATGGGGTTCGACCATCCGTCTGTTGGCGTCTGTACGACCGCTTGGTGGTTCTCTGTCTGCCTGCCTCGGCGGAGTGGCTCGCGTCCTCTCCGACCGGCGCCTGGCGGTGACACGAGGAGTTCCTGGCGTGGGTTCCGGTGCGACCGGGGACTCCCGGGGGGAGGTGTGGTATTGCGCTGAGCTGTAGGTCAGGGCCGGTAGTAATGCCAGCGATACTACGCCAGTGAATACCGCGGGTCGGTAGCGTGACTGTCAGTGCGCAACCATTTCAAGCTACGGAGATGGCTGACGTAACTCAAGATGTTTCGGCACAGGCGCTCTGTATCGGCATTTGCATGCCATAGCGTCGCCCCGACCAGTCCATCTGACAGCTGTGAAGAGGGGTCAGCTCTCAGTGTGCTGCTGCGGCATGAAAACTTCCAATTGGTGCAAGATGGTTCAGCAGAATCAGTTGTGAAAATCGCTATGTTTGGAGCTGGGGGAGGTGGAAAATTTAGGCAGATCAAGCTCAGAAAGACTTGAGTCTGTGATATGAGTGTGCCCCACATGCTGTGTCCAGCGCGGAAGTTATAACCTGGCTTCAACGGAATGTTTCATATCTGGAGACATTGAAGCCAGCCAGATATGAATGACTCGACGATCATATTTTTTGGCCTTGATCACCGCATGGCTCATGGAATAGCAGTATTTGAATGACGTTATTATGACGTCATGAATGCCAAGGTGATTTTACAATAATCTCCCCGATGTGCCTTTCCCTACTTTCACGGGCGTGCAGCTTAGAAACTAGAAGGGCTTAGGTCTTAAGAAGGGCAGGATTGGGGCCAGCATCAAATTTTTTTGAGATGGTCATCTCAGATCAACACCCCCAAAATTTGAACATTTCCTTCAAAAAATCATAGTTCACGGGACAGGGTTAGATTCAATAAAGGCTGGGAGCAATAAATAGTAAAATTGCCATTCATGGAACTGATCGATGCAGATACAGATTTCTAGAATAATGGAAATAGTAATTGATATTAAAGGCTGCATATTTTGTCGTTATTCATATAATTTTTCTTCAGTTTAGAAGTGGCCAGAATTTTTGACGGGCAGTGACTACCCTCTGAATCAGCCTTCCTCAGCTGCGACCGCAGCCTGTGGCGTATTGCGCTTAGCCATGCCATTACCACCCTCTAGGTTACGAAACGCTCATCATCGTCTTGTATTGTCGTGCCGGTGAACCAAAGTAAGTACCAACATACAAAACAATGATCGCTCAACTGTGCAACCAATGAACAGTGTGTGCGCTCCAACAATTTCTATACCAAACTATCAAGACTTCTTTCACGACATGCAAAACCATTAGTCATCAGTATGACATCTACTTGGCAAAGTGACGCCGAACCATGGTTGGCAGCGGGCACCGTCAGAGCCCCAACACAGCTGTTCGACCATGACGCCCCACACCATGCTCCTCGCTGCTGCACGGATTCAGCTGCCTGCGTGTGCCCCCCCCCCCCCCCACCTCGCAAGAGGCTGCGCCGCCCGGCGGCTCACCGGCCTCGGGCCCGGCTTTGACCCGCCGTCCCGCCGCGCCGGCAGGACTGCCCTACAAGATGTACAGCGCCCACGACACCATGCTGACGGAGAAGCGGAAGCAGCGGCGCATCCGCACCACTTTCACGTCGGCGCAGCTGAAGGAGCTGGAGAAGGCCTTTCAGGAGACTCACTACCCAGACATCTACACCCGTGAAGAGATCGCCATGAAGATCGACCTCACGGAGGCCAGGGTCCAGGTCAGTGCTTGTTCTAGCCTAAGTTTCCCCAGTCTAATAACTCGCTATCTGGCCGGCTGAACAGACGTGGCCCATTAACCGACGGCAGGGATTTACATATACTATGCGTTTTTTTCTAATTTCGTGCGACTCTACGCCCTTGGCAGTCAGAAAGTATCACATATCTTATAAAACAACTTTGACAGATATGCATATATTTTATTGTCTACCACGCTCTCAGTCAATCATCTGGCCCGTGTGCAAAAAATCCGGCGTATCCAGCTAATAAGGTTCATCATTGTGTATCGTGGGCAGATTACAAGAGGATCTGGCAGAGGTTTTTGTGACCGTGGGCGAGTTAGCAGATACAAACAAGTAGATAACTGCTTACCGCATGACTGATCTGCTGTATTCTACCTGTGGATATTTACAGAGTGTTGTGTCAAAACTAAGCTACTACTATTTTAAACGTCTTGGTGTCAGGGCTGCCCCAAACTGCTCACGCCATGTCTGAACTTGGAGGGCGTTGGGACTTCCCATTCCATTTTCTGGTCGAGTAGCAAATCATACGGCCTCCATTTGACATCAGAAGGCTTCTTTTGGCTTGGTCGCGATATCAAGCTAGCTAGCAAGCATTTTAGGGCTGATGTTGATAACAAAGACATTCATCTGATGGAGTACAACAGAGCTGGACAAATCGAAGTATTTGACAGCATTCGTCCTCAATCTAATACAGTGCCCATCGATTTCTTTAAGTGGAGTGCTACATTACGCCGTCCGAGCTTCGATACTTCCTCTTTTTAAGGAAATTTACTCTACATGCGCTGCATTCGTGCCGTGCGGCTCAGACCGGATGCCGAGCCGGGCCCTGGACGCAGCAATCCTGCGGATTAGCATGCGTCCGGCGCCCGCCGTGTCACTGCGCCGCCAGCGCCGTCGCGCTCGGTCCCCGCCCACGACGTGTCAGTGACGGCTCTTTGTCGCCGCCTCGTCAGCGTTTCGCCGTCACGCTCATCACGGCGTCACTCGTCACGGAGCCGGTGGCCGCTGAGGCGGACTGCCGCGCGGCCGCCCCGGTTCGCGGCACGTGCCGCCACTGCGGCGGCCGCCGGCGCGCCGGCACCGCCCCGCCGCCCCGCAACCGACCGACAAGCGTCAACAATACCAGTTCACGCCTTTCACCGTTCGCTAGATCGGTCATCTGATTTTCCGCGCCATCTAGCGGGCCCCGGTCGGGCCCGTTCCCATATCGGGCGTCCAATTGAATTAGCGGTGCGCGGCGGCGGCGCTTCGCCGGCGCGGGCCCTCCGGCGATAGGATCGCTCCGCGCGCCCGGACGCCGGTGGCGCCGCGGCCCCGACAGCACCGGCGCGATTACGGGCTTTGTCGGCGCTCATTTGGGCGACGGCGGAAGGGCCGGCGCGGGCGGGCGGGGACCGGCCGGCTCTGATCTCGGCCGAGACACGCGGCCGGCCTGTAACCCTGCCCGCCGCCCGGCCGCCGCCGCCGATTACCGGCCGGCGCCCTCCGCGATTAGGCGACCTCTCTCATTGTGCCCGGGGAACGGAGCATCGCCTGAGCTCGTGCTGATCACGATGTGTGAGTGTGGAATGCAAATAGATGAATAGCGAATGGTGCTGGATGGGTGCCAGTCGCTGCCTATCAGTGGGATGGAAGGCGTACCTCTCATGGGGCATTAAGCGTCACGTAAATTATCTCATATTGCACGCGTTCAATGAGCTTGGGTACACCGTCATGCGACCCATCCGGCGGCTCGCAGTTTTTCCGAGCTTGCCAGACGCAGACAGGAAAAAGGACTCGAATTAGTAACACCATGTGACGCCTGAGCTAGATAGTTCCTTTTATAAGGTCTCTCTTGAGTCCAAACACTTACTTACCCCATAGCGTTGCCTCGGGACACCAGAAACGTATGTTTCTGATGTCGAGAAACGTATGCTTTTCTAACCAAGCATGTTTCTCTAAACTGAACGTATATCAGAAACGTATGTTTCTGATAGCATCTGAGGTAAGGTGGTGCTTTCCTACCAAGTCTGAAATGGAATCGGAACGCTCCAAAGCTTATGGAACTACGGCTATACCGTGATTTCTATGGTCCGTACTGCTGAACCAAGCTGAACATCCTAGGATTGAGATCAGCAAACTTTCCGAAAATATCTAGGGGAAATGAAATGTAACGCCAGCCTCCGAACCTGGACGTATTGTGAACCTTTATCGCTCATAGACCTCCTTAAATCCAGGGTTTTTTGCAAAACATTGCAGTGATGGAGGTACAGCTAAACAAAACTTCACTGAAGACCTAGTTTAGCAAATCGCCGGTGCGCGAAATTTTTCGCATGGCGTACAACATCACATTGGCTCGGTCTGATTAGCTTTACATAACACGTTGAATTTGTGGCTGTCAGCATTTGGTCACGTACATTTTAACGCAAGTAATAAGTTTGATAAGAGGGGAGGGGGGACGCCTCCATCCAGGGACCACCATTTGGATGCGCCTCTGTTCAAGTATGCATACCGACGGTCAGGAACGGCGAAAAGTTCTCCGTTGCTTTTTAATCTAGTATTCTGCACGCTAATGTGCGAAACAACATACCCTGCGTCATCAAAGCATATCCAAAGACACTATACATATCCCATATCTCACAACATATCCCTGCGTCATCATAGGTGCGAAAGTTAAAGGATTACGTGCACTCACAACTATTTACACGCGCATGAAATCGCGACCTCTTCCGTTTTTATGATATCTTTCCCATCGCTCGTTTTCCCATCGTTCGTTCCTTATGCCTGGATTATTTTGATGTCACCTGGTGCTTGTCCCGCCCCGGGTCAAAAGTTTAGGGACGAGGACATCGTCTTTGCAAGATGTTTCTTGCAAATGTTCGTTCCCATGTAACGCCACGGGTGCAACACTCAATTTCGAAAAAAAAATATTTGAGAAACTTGCCACCTCCATTTCCTGTGATGACAACGCGCGAGAAAATATGACGTAGCAACCAATTTTGCTCATTTCTTCAGTCGCAACGCGGGCCCTCCACCTAAACAGGCACTCCTGATGCTCGTCGGAATGCAATGGCTTCATAATCGGAGTTTCCTGAGATAATGCAGTTCACTGCAACTGGTTCCACATGGTCTGCTGGCACCATTGCCTTACCGGAGTTCTCTGCTCCGCCATCGGACTTGCGAGTATCCGTCACGGAGGATGGACGCCTATAGAGACGGTGTCGACACTGCATTGGACCCATTATCAAAATGGATGCTCACAAGACATTGCGACGCCCTGATGGTCGTCCCCACGGTTGCCCTCATCGTCCTCACGGTTGCCCTCACGGTCGTCTATAAGGCCATGCAGCGCACCTTGTGATGGCTGTATGCGTCTGTGAGATGCTACGACGCCTTCGTGCCCGGAAATTCTCAAATTGTTACCGCTGTGCCAATCGGCCCATTTCGTCCTCGTGAGTGAGAAACCCCTGAGCCAGTGCGTTACTCTCGTGATCACGACTAGGAGCCGTTGAGACTGCAAGCACAGAGAGCATATAATCTGTAGAACTTTCCCAGAACACGCAGTGTGAAACCGGTAGATGCGATTTTTTACTTAGCGCAGATATTATATACTTATAAAGATTGTGGTAGCGTGGATCAAGCGGTAAAGTGCATTACGAGTGCATGCAAGTTTATCCCCTTTTGAAGCTACAAAGTACGAATTTCTGTGCATAACTACTTGTCCTTACAGCCTACCTGTTCTTACACAGTTTAGATCTTGGGAAGGTTAATGGTGCGAAGATTGGGGTGCAAAAAAAATGATACGTTGTGTCTTTCCCGACATAATGCGAAGTATGATTTGGGAAAATACGTTACACGAAATTGTGCCCAGCTTTGCTCGTGCAGTTTCGCTTGTGCGTCGCGGCTCAGATATTCTTTTTTACGGAAAACACATTTCAGTAAATTCACCGTCTTAAATTCAGTATTTTTGTTTTACCTGTGCTGGAAACCACCGAGTGAGAATTATGTTCGCGTTCGTTCATTCACGAAAAACTCACGTGAGTTTTGTATGCAATATGCACCACACAAATTCACCTGAGCCCTCATGTTCAAACATTTATTTATTCAAAAGTTAATGCTTCATTCATGTCGGGTCTTTTCGGTTTGTAGTTGTCCACACCTCTTAAGAAATACATTATTTCATAACCGATTTACAGCACAAGCTGAAGAAGCTCAAACTTGTATCATAGACTACAACTTCGTCACTTAAATATTCCGCCGGTATTTTGAAACTCTTCTAATGCCATAGGCTAAGATGTAAATAGTCATAAATACTTGCAGTTTAGCATGCAAGTGTGCCCTCCATGTGGAACACGTATATATATATATACATATATATATATATATATATATATATACATGTGTATGTACACACGTATAATAAAGACTGTAACCTCGGCAAATAGGCATCGACCATACCTAGAGTACTGCTCAACCGTCTTTGAATGTCTTTAGAATACAGATTTTCTAACCTGGGCTAATGCGAGGCATTGCAGCTGCCATAATCCTCGTAGATGTGCGCACGGGGATCACGGGAGACACACAATTATTTTTCCCCCCTGCCTACCCCAAATTTAAAGCACAATTCCCTTCAAAAGGCGAGTTGAAGAAAGCAGATCGGACGTCCTATTTGTTACGCTATGCGACCCACCTGCTTCCCTCCCCCATCCTCTACCCTCCCTCCCACCCCAACCATCCACACCACACATTCAGACTCCACTTGCATCGTTTCTTGATCGAACCTAGTACGGTTTCATAATTTCTCTGTCTTGATCGAACCTAGCATGGTTTCGTTCGGACGAACGGACGGAAACAGCGTTGCGGGAAAGCAGTGGTATGGAAAGTATCGTAGCAGAGTATGTAAGGAAACGATACACCAAGATGGGAAATTTCAAAGAAACTTTTGAAAACGCTACCAGATCTGCGTAGGAATGCATTCCCCAACTGCAAGCATTTTATCG